TTCCCCAAAAGATAGTTGCTACTAACACCTGTGGCCTGTTTCCTTTAGTCTTAGTGTAGAATCTATTATTCAACACACACACACCATCTCAAAGCTACACAGAAAATAAATCAAGAGCAATTTCCCATTGTGTTTGGTTAGCTCTTTTGGTGTTCAGTACAGAGTCCTGGGGTTTGAATAGGTAAATACGTTCTCTACCTCAGGGCAACACACTCTCTCTCTCCATTTTGCAAAGCGTTGTGTTTTGTTTTTCCATTCTTGTTTTTATGCTGCAGCTGTCCTTAGTTCCTATGGTCTGATTTGTTGTTGTTGTTTTGTTTTGTTTTTAAGATGTATTTATTATTTATACACTATTCTGCTTGTATGTGTGTCTACACACCAGAAGAGGGCACCAGATCTTACTAAAGATGGTTGTGAGCCACTATGTGGTTGCTGGGAATTGAACTCAGGACCTTTGGAAGGATAGTCAGTGCTCTTAACCTCTGAGCCATCTCTCCAGGCTTGTTTTTCCATTCTTAATCCAGGTGCATTTTGGAATGAGGCCATGACAGTTTTATCTTCAGTAAATTTGTTCCAATAGCCCCATCACTCTTGGAGTTCCAACTGTGTCTTATGCTCTTTTTCCTCCCGACACATAGAATCTATTTGCTTTCATTGTGTGTGTGTGTATGTGTGTGTGTGTGAGAGAGAGAGAGAGAGAGACCTGTAGAAGTCAGGGACAATGTCATGGTCTGGCTCCCAAATCCAGATTATGGCCCTGACAGGTCAGTTTCTATTTAATGTTCAATAAAACACTATTGACTTAAGTCTGGGATCTGAGTGGCCAATGAACAGCTATTCCTGAACCTGTAACAACGTGCATATACCCTCCAAAGCTCATGTTAAAACTTAATTGCTGTCAGGCAGCGGTGGCACACACTTTTAAACCCAGCACTCAGAAGGCAAAGGCAGGCAGATTTTTAAGTTTGAAGCCAGCCTGGTCCAGGACAGCAAAAGCTACACAGAGAAAACCTGTCTCAAAAAAAAAAAAAAAAAAAAATCAAACAGACAAACAAACAAAAAACTTATTGCTGCGATGACAGGAGGTGGGTCCTAGAAGAGGCAATCTGGTCTCAAAGGCTCTGTCCTTTGTAGGAGTTAGTGCCTTTGCTTTGGAAATGGGTCCCTGATTAGAACTCTGACTCAATCTCCTCTCTCTCCTTTCTCACTCTCACCTCCTTCTCTCTGCTCTCTGCTCTGATGACACCTAAGAAGGTTGCCATCTTGGACTGCTAGTCCTCTGATCCTCTAAAACTTGGAGACAAATACACTTCTAGTGTTTGTAACCTACCCAGCCTGCAGCATTCTGTTGGAGCAGCTGCAGCCCGAAAGAAACGCCTTGATTCTTCGGAACATGAACTACAAAGGGAAAACTCCATGCCACTAGTTTTTCACTGCATGGAATACAATTAGGAAAAAAAAAAAAAAAAAAAACAAGTAAGAGATGGCTAAAACAACATTCCTTACTGTGCTTCAAGCTTTGTGTATTAGGCTAGCTTTGTTCTGCTTTTTTTAAAACTTGGGAATTTCAAAAGATGTGAGCTGTCCAACAGCAGCTATCTCTTTATATTTCAGTTTTAGGACATGTCCATCTTAAATAATACTTTTGATTCCACTCTGGGGACATACTCAGAGCTTAGGATTAACAAGAGAAACCACAATGGATATGACCAGTCAGTGGTCCAGAGCCCTCTGCTCGCCAGAATCACTGATCCTTTTCTCCCCCAACCCTCTCTTTCTTTTCTTTATTGGGTACTGGGGTTTGAACCTAGGGCCTTGCACATACTACAGAAAAGCACACTATCATCTCACTGAGCTACATCCATAGCCCAGAATCCTTAACCCTCTAAACACATCACCTCACATCTGCCTAAACCTTAAATGCTGAAAACAGACACTTGGCAGTATCTGTATTCCTGTAACATATGCAATCCTGGTAACATATACAATCACAGTAGCCAACCTGTGAAAACTGCCAATCATCCACTGACAGGCAAATGTACAAATGAGATGTGGCACATCAGCACAGCAGGGTATAGAGCGACTTGACCTCACATAGTTAGAAAATCTGACTTAAGAGTGGGTATGAGTGAACCTCGAGGCCATAGGCTAGCGGTAAAACAGTATTCGGTGCCTGCATGTACACATGTGTGTGCGCAGGTGTGTGTAGAGAATGCATATGAATGCATGTGTGCAGATGCATGAGCACGCCTTTGTAGGCTAGAGATAAGCATATAGTCCTCCATTCCCTCCTGGCTAGTTTTTGAGACAGGGTCTCTCACTGAAGCTGGACCTCACTGTCGCAGCTAGGGGGGCTGACCAGAAGGCCCAAAACTGCCTGTCTCTGCATTTCACACACACACACACACACACACACACACACACACACACACACTCCACTAATGTTACAGGCATGGATCATCATGCCTGCCCTTATCTGGGTGCTGGATGGAGAGCTGAACCCAGGACCTCATGCTTGTACAGTAAGTGCTTTACCAACTGAGCTATCCAGCCTCTAATTTTTTTTTTAGTAATTCATTTTTAGTTGGCATACAGTGTAATGGGTTTCATTATGACATCTTTAATCCATGCATAAGATTTACCCCAATATTTGCCCCATCCCTCCTTTCCCCTCTCTCCAATTTCCTTCCTCCTTCTAAATGGTTCCCCTATCTCTCTCTCCCCTGCCCCCAATTTGGGAGTTCTGGCTTACCTGTGTTGCACACCTGTAAGCCAGGTACATTCTGACCTGCTGCAGTCTGGAGCTGCCCACATACAACCGCTGTCTCTCTGGGAGTCTGCAGGAGGCACTCACGGGTGTTTATTCTATGCTTGTGTCTGGAGACCACTTTGAGAGTCAGCCATGCCCTCACCTCCACTGCCATATTATCACATGTCACAGGTGTTACAGCCACCCTGCTACTTAGTGACACCATTGGGTAGTTGCTCCTCCTCCAGCAGGCTAAGGGACTTGGATGCATGCCCCCTCTCACATCACGGCAACAGTATACGAAACTCAAGCTCTCTTCAGCCATGAGTGGCAGGTGGATCTGCCAGCCACCATGAAGCTTCCCCAGCCACAGGTTTGCTTCATCTGCTTAACCCCACCTCGGAGCCATCCTCTGCTCTCCTCCCCAGAAGCCAGGAGCTAAAACTAAATGACCACACTATGCCCAAAGTGCAAGGAAGCTGCAAAGCAAGAGACCACCTGGCCCTCACAGCATGGTCCTGATGACACAGGAGCTGGGACAGTGTCTTCCATCTGAGAACCCCAGAGCCCTTTACAACCACACCCTGGGTACAGCCCTCATTCAGGCTCTGGGAATGATGAGGGCAATTTCCAAGCAGAGGAAGCTGGAATACGATGGGGTCATGGTCACGCTGCATAACGTGTGAAGGGGTGCTCCAACGATAGATTAGGACATCTAGGACTCTACGTGCCTGTGTTGAGGCTCTCCCACTCAGCTTCAACATCGGTTCCACTATTATTTAATTTAACCATTTCATTCCTTCTCTTCTTCCTGCTGTTTTCCAGGATCCACTTTGTGTTTTCAATGAATGAGGGAAGACAGAATAAAAATTTTGTGCCAAATATAATCTGCAAATAGTAACCTTCTGTTTCCACAAAGCCAGGCAGTTCTGGTATTACCTTTCAATGGCTTTTAGAAAAACTTCCCTTTGTAAACTCTCTGGAGAGTCTGATCTTCCTCAAGAAGCGTTACTTCTTATTATGCCAACATCTGTGGGGAAGAGAGTGTGTTGCCTTGAGTGGTCAGGCTACGATCCCAAAGGTGAATGTGCATGAAGCTGGCATGGAGGTACACACCTGTAACGTCAGCATTCGGGGTTAGGGTTAGAGGCAGAAGGAAACGGGTCTTCAGTTCAAGTCCCATCTGGGTTTTATAATGAGTTTGAACTCAGCTTGGACTACACTGTGAGATCTGCCTCAAATAAATACATAGGTGATCCAAGTGCATGAAAATCACTGGAGAATCATGGTAAGCAAAAGACTGTCCAATACAACTGAGTGGGGTTTCAGATTCTAGGTCTCTAATAAACATTCAGGGGCTGCTGCCAGCCAATGGAACACTTTTTTTAGCAGCAAGGAGCTATACCAGACAAGCCCTTGCGGACAACACCCTTCTAGAAAAGCGACAGCTGGAACTGACACATCATTCTCTTGCCGCCAGCTTTCTGGGTGCTTGATTACTCTCAGCCTTTAATTATTCTCGAGTCTTCTGGAATCTGAGTTGCAAAGCTCGCTGATGTTAGGACATGACAGCGCTGTATGGAGGGAGGAAAGTCATGGTGATATTGAAGCCTGTACAAGCAGGGGAGTCAGCGTTACCCCTGAGTGTACTGAACATAGTTAATAGATGTGCCCCTTTATATTTAATACAGTGCCTCATGTTGTGGTGACCGCCCCCCAACCATAAGATTATTTTATTTCTATTTCAAAACTGTAAATTTGCTACTGTTATGAATTGTGATGCAAATACCTGTGTTTTCTGGTGGTCTTAGGCGACCCCTGTGGAAGGGTCATTTAACCCCTCAGGGGGGTTGCAACCCACAGGTTGAGAACCACTCCTTTCAAGGGTAGTTTGGGGGTGATTGTTTCTAGGCAACATTCTAATGCAAAGACTGAAAAAACAATAAAATTAATAACAAGTTATTTTCAGGTTTGAAAAAAATTACCCTTTTTTCCCTTAGTCATCCAATGTGTTTGAAGTGTATAGTCCAGGCACCTAAGTGAAAGCTTGCAACATATCAATGTCTAGCGTGACCTTTGGTCTCCACTAATCCTGTGTTAATCCTGTGCTCTGTGGTTGTCATGGCAGCACTGATAACAGACCCTGGGGCTTTCCTCTGGACTGTCTCATCATCCAGGCCATCTCGTTAAAATCTCGCAGTCTACTGCCCTGGAAACTAAGAGCTGGTGAGTCTTCGAGGCACAATTTCTGAATAATAAAAAGGCATTTTGAGATCTGGGTATTTTCCGTGCTACCGAATTCTATCTGGCAGTTCATTGTGGTGCATAGCTGAAATCCTGGAAGGCTGAGGCAGGAAGATCATGAGTTCAAGACTGCCCTGGACTATATAGTGAGTTTCAGGCAAAACTGTATGTGCACGCACACACACACACACACACACACACACACAAACATACACCTTCCTCTGAGATCACACACAGAGTCCTGCATCTGCTCCTCTGGCTAGATGCCAGGTTTGTTCTCTTCCTGGATGAAGACAAAGATTGCAACTGCAGTATCTTCCTGCTCACCAACACCTGCCGCTGAGACTCTGCGGTGAGACACCGGAGACATACTGTCAGGGTACTTATCCTGTTGCACCTTGGGACAAGCAGAGATAGAGGTAAGCAAACATAACTCTGGACTTTGGATTCTGCTGTGATGATTCCACTCTGTGCAAATTCCCATGGCGTTTAAAAGAAACAAACCTGAACTGTGGCGTAGCTGGTACACTCTGGACCCCTCCATTCTCCTTCCTCTCTCCAGAGCTACTCTCTGGAGCTTACTATTTCTCCTCCACTCATATGTTCGTGTGTGACCTAACTATAGAGCCGTTGCTGCATAGCATACCTTTATACAAGCAGCCTTGAGTAGAAAGCCACTTGCAAATGCCATCTTTGTCACTTAATCGTGTGTGAGATTCAGACCTGTCAAATTATTTACGTTGTGCTTTTTCATTTAGTCCATTGTATGAACAAAAATAACTTATTTGCTTACCCAGAGTCTTGTACATGAGCATTTAAAATGCTTAAGTTGGGGGCTGGAGAGATGGCTCAGCAGTTAAGAGCACTGGCTGTTCTTGCTGAGGCCCTGAGCGAGTTCGGTTCCCAGCATCTACATGTCAGGTCCCAAGCACCTGTAACGCCAGTTCTAGGGCACTCAACACCTTTTTTCAGCCTCCACTGGTTCTTGCACTCACAGAGATACAGATATATGCATAAATAAATAATAAAATAGATCTTTAAAAAATAAATTAAACATTTAAATTGTTCACTGTCACAAATGATAGCTCCACAAACACAGGTGTGTGTGTGTGTGTGTGTGTGTGTGTGTGTGTGTGTGTGTGTGTGTTTACAACTCCTGAAGATTTTCTTGTTGTTGGTTTGGTTTTTTGTTTTTTAAGACAGGGTTTCTCTATGTAGCCATAAGCCCTTCTGGAACTCACTCTGTAGACCAAGCTGGCCTTGAACTCAGAGATCCACCTGCCTCTGCCGCCTGAGAGCTGTAATTAAAGGCGTGTGCCACCACTGCTGAGCCCCTAAAGGTTTCTGAAACCTAGGCGTGAGGTTGTTGGGACATACGGAGGCTCATCTTTAATACATACACCATTGTCTCTTCTAGCGTGAACAAACTTACATTTCCACTAGCAGCAGGGATGGTCCCTATCTGTCCAAACTGTCCCTTCCTTCCTTCCTTCCTTCCTTCCTTCCTTCCTTCCTTCCTTCCTTCCTTCCTTCCTTCCTTCTTTCCCTCCTTCACTGCCTCTCCTTCCCTTTCTGCCTTCCCCCATCCCTTCCCTGTTTTTCTTTCTGTTAAATACTTTTCCAGATTTACAGTCAAATATAAACAACATGTATGTGGTGAGAATACTTGCTGCCTTCCATTCCCTTCCTCAGCCTCCAGAGTGCTGGTTTGTATATCTATGTACCACTCCAGCAGGCTTAGACTCGTATAATTTTGGTATTTCCTGAAGTCAGGTCATATTGTCATCCTAAAACCTGACAATGCACTGATTCCTCACATTTTAGTTTAATTTTGCTTTTGTTTTTTAATAATTGGGAAACATCTCAGTATGTATTCAGTACTATCTTCATTTGATTTTCTCTAATTAGTACAGAGTCAGGCAATGTCTACAAATGCTTCAACACTGTCTTCTACAAATTACCTATTTATGTGACTTTATCCACTTTTCAAGCTGCTTTAGCTAAGTCATCATACATTAATTCTTTCTTGCTGCAAACTGTTGGGAAACCATCCTCCCTGGATCTTTTTAAAAGACAGATGTGGACAAGCTCCAAAGAAAATGGCTGTTTTCCCCAGCACTGTATTCCCTGTATCCTCTAAGGCTGGTGAGTCTAGAGCCCTTTGCCTACATTTCAGAGAATGATAAACCCATCGCTCTTCCTCTCTCCTCCAGCATGTATTGTTAGGAGGCCAAAGGTCTCTCCCTGCATCTCCGGCTATGCCCTGAGGGTCATGGCCTGGTTCTGCAGAATGCAGCTGGATCTCACTTGGCTGCCCTGAGGGAAACTGAGGCATTCGAAATCAACAATAAAATCATTGGTATATTCTCTGATCATCAACCTGCTGTTTCCATGCAAGATAAATGGATAGAGATGTAAACATTTAACAAATATCTTTTCTCTTCTCTTAGTTTATAGCCTTTCTTTATCTTTTGTTTATTCTTTTTTTATTTATTTGTTTGTTTGTTTGTTTGTTTGTTTGTTTTTTGAGACACGTCTTGCCTTGTAACCCTGGCTGGCCTCAAACTCTCTACCCTCCTGCCTCAGCCTTCTGCAGGTGTCACTGTATCCAAAGGTAAGTGCTTTATTGCTATATACAAAAATATTACCATTTTAATCATTTGTGTGTGTAGTTCAAAAGTGTTAGGTATAGTTGTGCTACCTTCTATCGATACAACTCTTTCATCTTGAAAACCTAAAGCTATTTTCAAGAGAGTCTGATCTTTTTCTTAACATTTTATTTATTATTATCATGTGTGTGTGTGCATTCATCACAGCATGCATGTAAAAGCCGGTGGGCTGCTCTGTAGAACCAGTTCTCTCCCCTGCCTTTACTTAGGTTTTGAGTGTTGGGACTAAACTCAGGTTATCAGGCTTCCATCACTGGTCAGAGATCAAGAACCTTCAAGTCTAAGCCATCATGTCAGCCCAGAAACTTCATACTCATTAAATGCATTGCTTCTCTCTCTGTCTGTCTCTCTCTCTCTGTCTCTCTCTCTCTCTGTCTCTCTCTCTGCCTCTGGCACATTCTGCTTTCTGTCTCTGAGTCTGGTTTCTCTAGCGAGCAACCGCAACTGTCCAGTGCTGGTCCTCTGAGCTGCATTTCACTTAGCAAGATGTCCCCAAAGGTTTCCATGTGTCTGAGTTTCCTTCCTGTTTAAAAGGGGAAAAAATGTGATAATGGGGCTGGAGAGGTGGCTTAGAGGTTAAGAGCACTTATTGCTCTTGCAGAAGACCAGGGTTCAATTCCCAGCACTCGCATGGTGGCTCACAACCACCTGGAACTCCCCTTCCCACTTCCGACCCCCTCCTCCAGCCTCCACGAGCACAAGACATGCACACGGTGCACAGACATACAGGCAGGCAAGACATGTATATACACAAAACAACGTGAATACATCTATGTTTAAATAATAATAAATGGTGTTAGTGCGGTAAAATGAACACAGCGTAAAACAGACCAGTTTAACCACTTTTAACTACAAAGTTCTGGTCAGTCCCTATCCATTCATCCAACTCCTTTTCAGCTTCTAAAACTAAAGCGCTAAGCACTAACTCCCCATGCTCCATTCTCCCCGGTTCATCCCTCAAGTTTGAATGTGTGTGCACATCGCATTGTGCCTGCCTTTTGACTGTTGTGGACGATTTTTTTTTTTTTTTTTAGAAAGCTAAACAGTCCATGTTTTATTGTTTACTATTCAATTAGTAAATAGTACAATAAAATGATGCTTTGAAAAGTAAGCAAACTAACAAACATAAACTGCAAAAAATGGATAAAACATAACTCAGAAACAATAATGTAGTAAAAACATGTCAAAACCTTGGCAAAGGTCAATACAAATTCTTTATTTAATAACAACTTCCTGTTTAACCACACCAAGTACCAGCAGGTGCATGTGGACGATTTTATATATGAAGCAAAAGCGCCTATTGGATACAGATTAATTTTTCTAAGCTGGGATGGAACCCAGACCCTCACACATGCTAGGCAAATACTCTCCCCAAGTCTGTGCTCTATACTGTCCAAAAGACAGAGAGGAAATTTTTCTTGCTTTCAACACATTCACGTTTTTACCTTTTCCTTTATTATTCTTTATTACTTCCTTTTTTATGTTGTTAGTGACCAGGACTCATGTGGCATAGGGCTGGCCTCAAACTCCCTATTATACAGCCTCCAAAGTGCTAGGATCAACACTCCTGGTTTTATGAGGTGCTGGGGACTGAATCCAGGGCTGGGTAAGCACTTCCCACCTGAGCTACATTCCCAGGCCATCTGTTTTTGTTTGTTTGTTTGTTTGTTTGTTTGGTGTGTGTGTGTGTGTGTGTGTGTGTGTGTGTGTGTGTGTGTGTCCTGTTATAAAGTATGGTTTTTGAAATTGCCAAGTTTGCTAAGATGGCTGCCCGGCTTCTGTATGGCTTCTGATTCCCATGGCACTACAGTTGTAATACTGGGACTATTTATCCTCAGCTGAGGCCCCAAACCAAGAAAGGCTGCCCAGATCATAACTCATGGCCTGGTTTTATTTTTAAAAGAAGGCAAGGTCTCTTTCTGTCCCCCTCATGAGGGTGTTTGGGTAGCTCTAGGAACCCAATTACTGTTTAATAAAACTGCACAAATTTCATTAATATTATATATGCATAGGGATCTTCATGTATGAAGTCCAAAGGATGGACCAGAGCATCTTAGTAACTAGCTCCTGTATTAACAGAACTCCTAGATCTAGCTCCAAACCCTGGGGAAAACCAGCCAGCCCAATACTGGAAAGACCCAAACGCTTGGTGTCAGGCCCAGACCTCCCACGTACTTCTTTGTTTGCTACAAGAGGCCTAGTGGTTGTGAATCTTTACCTACTCTGTCTTTTTGGTGTGTTGGGGGGAGTGTTGGGTGTGAGTGTAGGAAGTAGGTCAATGGGAGTGTCTTGAACGGTGATTTATCCTGACCACATTGTCTATGGGTGCATTGTCGACTGACACGGTTATTTGGGATGTGAGCAAACATCACGGAAGGAGATCCAAAATGTACAGAACCAAGTGAAAGTCGCTATATATTTAAAAGGGGCGAAAAACATTTGCAAATGTACATTTATTTGCTTGTGTACCCAAAAAATCTGTGAGTGTTGTGAATATGCATAGAAAACTGATAATACCCCTTACTTTTGGATATAGGCATGGAGTAGCTGGGGAAAGGAAGAAAGAGGACTTTGATTTTATACATGTGATTGTGATATTTCCAGTTAGGAAAAATAAAAACAAGGTGAGTAAGCTCCAACTGAGTGTTGCAGTCATAGAAATTCATTTTTAAATTTGTGAATACACAATTACCCATAAAATTCACCCTAAAGTTACAATTCAGTAGCTCTTAGCATTTATATGCCATTATCCCAACAGCACTGTCTCAATTCAGTTCATCACCCCAAAAGGAAACTCCCCGTCTCCCTGACTGTCCCACACTTGGCAGCCATTCTAATCCACCTTCTAAGTCAATGGATTTACCCACTGTGGACACTTCCTAAAAATGGAACCATGCAGTAAATTATGCTTATCCACAATGAAGACGGATGTTTCGGTTGTTTCTACAGAATTGTGACTACTGGAAATCTTGTTACAGAAACATGGAATTTCCAGACTGTGCGTGCATAATATTATACAGGCCTGTATAATCCCTGCACCTGAGAGGAAGGAAAGAAGGAGGCTGTTGTGCAGGTTTCTGTGCCCAGACTATCCTGAACTTCCTAGTAATAGCCTGTATAAGAGATGGAGAGGGAAAGGAGGGGACAAAAGCAGAGGGAGGAGGGGGCTTTAACTCATGAGCATTTCAAGAGGTCCTGATACTCAGAGCAAGGGTTTCGTATCATTTGCTGTCTGTCACAGACATCTGTACTTATTTAAGGACACAGAATCCATTCTTGTCTAACTTATAAAGAGTGCAAATTTCACTTAAATTAATCCTTTCCTTTCTGTGCACTTCTTAAATAGCCTACCTTGTGCCTCTCTGTCTTGCAGTCTCTTCCCCTTCCTTTGCTTACTTCTCTGTTTACTCTCTTGCTGTGGTGCCCAGGATGGAATCCAGGCTCTCAGCAGTGCTAAGCACACACACACACTACTGCAGAGCTAACCCAGCCCCCTTCACTCCCTGTCTGAGGCCACACTCGAGGGTGTCCCAAAACAGCACAGGCCTCAGTGAGGACACCTTTCTTTGCTTGCTTATTTTGATTTTTTTTTTTTCCCATTCGCCAAGACATGCAATCATCACTCCTGAGTTAATTCACTGTGGAAAAACACTAAAACGCTGGCACACCAAGGCTTTACTTGAATAGTCATTTTTGCCGTTAGCTCTTTGCCTGAAAGGCAAATGGTTTGTTGTAACTGGTCTGGCCTCCACCGCCACCAATTGGGGCAAATGTAAAGCTGGGCTGTTTTTCAAATCCAGGTTTACTAAGCCCAAAGAGACTGTCTTAGCAGAGATTAGGATCGGCCGGGAGCGGGACAGTGTTTAACTCCAGATAAGATATGGAGAGGCAAGAGATCTGGAGAAGCCACTGGCACACAGCAGCACAAAGTGTGTAAGCAGAAATGCACACGTGTACATATGGGTGTACAGGCATAGGTGTGCATGTACTCACACAAGTGCAAATGCACACACACACACACACACACACCCATGAATGCAAGCACATGCATTTACATGTGGGCATACAATGTTCACGCAAGCACACAAGTGCAAACGTGCATAGGTGAATACACATGTGCCTATCTGTGCACCTCTCATGTGTCATCCTGGAGAGCTCATAAACTAAAGTGAACACTCAATGCCCCATGAGAGCTTCCACTCTTCTCCTCCATCTCCAGAGAGAGTCCTGCCCACGCTACAGAGCAGGTTTCTCAAGAGAGTGGCTTCCTGGGAGTGGAAGGCCAGAGACAGGCCAATTCTTGCTTAGAAACTGGGGCTGTTTATCAACAGCCCAAATGAAACTGGCTTAGATTTCTTTTATTTTTATTTTTTGAGGGTCTCATGATGTAGCCCTGGCTGGCCTGGAGCTCACTATACAGGTAGGACTGGCCTCAAACTCACAGCGAAGCAGCCGGCTTTGCCTCCTGAGTGCTGGGATTAAAGGTATTCACCACTACGCCCATCATATTTAGATTTTTTTGATTGATTTTTGCTTGGGGAGTCTGTTTTTGTTTGTTTTGTTGTTTTTGTTCCGAGATAGACTCCCACTGTAGCCCAGGCTGGCCTTAAACGTGCTGCAATCGTCCTGCCTAAGCCTCTCAAGTGCCGAGATTGTGGTTGTGAACCACACCACCACCTTCCTTGGATTTTTAAATTATACACATCCTCATTCTACCTTATCAGGATGCCCTTTGATAGAAGAAAGATGCTATCTTTTCTAGATGCATCTTTTGCATTTCCACACTGGATAACAGTGATGGAGGTAATACTGGCTCCCATTTGAGCTGCCTCCTGGTCTCACCTTGCTTTATCTAATCCACCCTGTACCCCGACCCAGATTCGGCCTAATGCTTTCCTGCCTTGGCAATCCCATCTGCATTACATGTCTCCTGTCCATGCCAATAGGACAAAGTCTACTTTTAAGGACATAAGACATGCCGTGATTGGGTCCTGTTTGTCTTCCTAGGATCCTCCCATACAGCCCAGGGCCCTCCCACACACCAGATTCCAACCTAGCAGGTTATTTCCACTCCTCTGAGCAACCCAAGTGCATTCTGAGTCTATACTGCTTGGTTAAATAAAACAGAATGAGCTAAAGGAGAGACGAAGCTACATTATATAAGTGCGGGTTTCTTGGGAGCAGCGAGGGAGTGGGGAGGGGAAGGGGCGCTGGCACTGGCGCTGGGGGGGTGGAGGGAAGGGAGAGAGAGCAGGAAAGGAGTAAAGGGGTAGGAAGGGCAGAAAGGGGGCCTATGTAACCAAGATGTCCGGTTATATAGTGAAGGGCCTCTGGGAGAGAAGCCCCGCCCTAGGTGGAGGGCAGAGTATGGCAGCCACGCCCTGCAGCAGGCAGGGACTTTAACATATACTGCCTGCTCTTTGCGCACAGTGCTCCTTCGTTCCTCATTCAACACACCTTTACAAGGTCCCCTCCAGGTGCCAAGAGATGGAACTTCACAGTGACACAGCTAGTGATGGCGGCTCGCAGGAAGTAGAGCCGGAAGTGAAGTGGGCTGCAGGGGTGAGGTGGGCCTGTGTTGGAGGTGGCCCAAAGAGGCTAGTTCCAGCCCTACTGCTGAGAGCTCCCAGCCTCCTGGGGAGAGAGGCTGCGAGCTGGCTAGCACAGGCCACTAGTGCTCTGCTGCCTTCCGCTCTGAGCCTTCGCAGGTCATAGGCCCAGGTGAGCAGGCTTGGGGAACAGGAGCTCTTTTGCGCTCCATTTGGCAAGCAAGGCTGCCTGCCTTGTTCTTGCAAGGGTTTTAAGTGGAGCATGCCTGCCTCAGCTTGCCCCAGAGCTGGATACACTGTTCCTGTGGGCAGGGCAGAGTTTCATAAGCCCTGGATTGTACAGAGTAGGCAGTCAATAAAAATATCTGCTGAGTGAATAAGTGTGAATGGAGATAGTCATGGAGCCTTGTTACCTGTTCACAGAGGAGCCTCCAACTTTCCCACTTCCCAGGAGTGCTGGACAGCTTAATTCATTGTATCCAGGACACCTGAGCTCTTCAGATGAAAATGACTGACTTGCTGGAGTGGGGAAGGAGGGTGCATATGAAATAGACTTTACCTGGTAATAGGGGGTCTCTGACCACCTTTAACATATGTGTGAGGTCTCCTTCCAGTGAAAGCAAAAATACAAGCAGTAGAGAGCACAGAATGAGGGAACCCCACACACACACACACACCCGGTTTTTGGTTTTTCTCTCTGTTAAATGTCTTTTTTTTTTTTTCAGCATCTAGAATAATCTGAGTACCAGGTGTGTGCTGTAAAAATCGGAAGAAATGTGTCAGAAATGCAGAACTGAGCTGGCATGTGCCTGAAGGGTGACACTCCTGGCTTCCCCAGCTGGCTCTCAGGGACACTAAAGCTCCTCACTCAGCAATTACATCTGCTGGAGTCACACCCAAGCCTGGAGCACCCTCCCGCCTTTGGGGGAGGGGGCAAAATGCTGCTGAGCACCAATGAAATCCTCAAGGAGATTACAAATAATAAGGCAGATGCACACTTTGACTCTCCCCCTTTTTTCCTGGTGCCTCAAGCTGCCTGCTCCCTAGAGGCAGGGCAGGATGGGAGGCAGCCTGCACAGGTGAAGGCTGCTAGCCCTGTCTGACCACATGCTCGGTTTGTTCAAGGCGTCCTCACTGTCTGAGGGCACTGGGCTTTTCCTTTTTGCTCTCCCTTTCCTTCTTGCTGGTTTTATTGTTGTTTGAGACTGGATCTTCCTATGTAGCCCAGGCTGGCCTCAAAATCTCCATCCTCTTGCCTTCCATTTCTGAATACTGGGATTACAGATGTGTGCTTGGGAAATAATTTTTGTGTAGGTATTTTTCTTTTCATTTCTTGTTTTCTGTGTGTCTGTCTTCCTCCTCCTCATTTGCTTTGTTTTAATTTTGTGGTGCTTGGAAAGGAACCCAGAGCTTCAAGCATTCCAGATAAGTAGCTCTTGCAACTTTCTGATTCCATTACTTTCATCTACCGCCATGCTTGCTCTTCTCACTGCTTTGAGATTGACAATATGGTTCTCTTTCATCTCAATCCTCACCTTCTCTGGGGGCCACTCCCTTATTTGTCTGCTGTCAAGTACCTTCTCCTCAACCAGGGAGCCCTAAATCTTCAACTCTTCATACCCACTTACACACTTGCCTGCTCATGATGCCCAGAGTGCCTCACCCACTTTCTCTGAACTCAAAGTTCTGCTGAATCTAAGTTAGAGACCCAGCCTCCTCCAGGTAATTATACTTCCTTCTTATGGTGGACAGGACAGTGAAACAGACTATAGGCTCATCTTTACCCTCTCCTGGTCCCACCTTGGTTTCTCCCTGTCATGAGCCCCTCAACATAATCTCCTTGTTTCTGCTGCCCCTGACTCTTCAGTCTGGCTACAGGGCTGATTCTTCATTAGTCTGGCTGCACTATCTCACTCCTGAGATCCCTTCCACAGAACCACACTACCTGAAACAGTGGTTTCTAAACCCAGTCCACACACTTGGGGGACTTTTAAAAAGCAGACAGTTGGAAATTCTAAGTTCTAAGTCAGTATCACTAGAGAGGTTATTTTCAAAATTACTTGCCTGAAGCCTCACCTTCAGATTTCTTCATAGGACCTTGGCCTTGACACACACCTTCCTTTTCAGGCAGACAGAATGACTTCTTTCGATTAGGGGACTTCCCTTCTCTGCAGACACTAGCCTGCTGTGTGGATGCTCTCTCTTGCTGACAGTTGTCTGGTGTCCTTGGGGAAAATCAGTTCCCTCCTCTTTGGGCCTCATCCTCTTACAACTTCAGAACCTTGTCTGAACCATCTTTCATTCTCTGTCTTCAGTGCTGGTGGTCGGGCTGACTGCTTTCCACATGCTGTGCATACACTATTCTACTGAGCTAGCTACACACTTATATTATGTGGTTTTAAAAAGATGTCACTCTCTTCAGCTAAGCAACAGGTTAACCTCCTAAGAGGCATCTTATTTCAGCTTTTTTTCATAGGGCTGACATACAAATGGCTTTCAATAAATATATATTAAGTATATAATTAGCAATAAACTTGAGAAAGCCATTTTCACAGAATTTTAGAGAGAGTAATGTAGCTAGAAAAAAAATTATAGTTCTGAAAGTTTTAAAACTCCTGAAACCTGGGGAACTTTTTTTATTCTGCCGGAAGTTTAAGCTCATACTCCATTATTTTGGAGTAATTTCTTCTAGGACTCCCAAAATGATGGACTCCTGAGAGAAGGGGCAGAGGTCAAACAAGGGATAGCTGTGTATGAAGATGCCTCCTGTAAGGCAGAAGAGCAATTGCAGCCTCCTTTGGCTTTTAGTATCATCACATGCCAATGACTGTTTATTTTTTCCTGGTGCTGGGGACCGAACGCAGGGCTCTGTGCATGCTAAGCCTATCCTATGTCACCACCCGACACCCAGCCCCACCCCATGTACTGGGAACTGGAAACAAAGTCAATCATAAAACCCTTCTGGTCCTTTTCCCAATCAAGGGGCCCCGTCCTCTGGTGACTCCCAGCTTTTCGTTGTCATAAGTGGTGATCCTGTGATTTTGAAAGCTTCTTCATTGTGTGTGTGAGAGGAGACTAGTCAGAAAAAGCTACAGATGACTGAAAACAACAGCACTGCCTTCTTGGCAGAGATAAAAAGAATTAGACATTTATCTGATTATGTTTTGAAATTCCCTTTCTCCTAGGAGCACTCAGCAACAAAATAAAATATTTCTAGTCATTCTGCAATGTTTGTGTCTGAACAAGTTTGTTCAGATGCAGTTCTGGGTAAAGATAAGCAGCAAGTGTGTCTAATGGCCTGCAGAAATGAGAAATGCTAAAAACAGAGCTGACCCCTACAAGGATATGGAGAAAAATCAGGGATAAAGGCTCAAATGCAGCAGTACAGGACTTGGATGAATGGTATCCCAACCGGAAGAAGCTGAGAGGGGCGTGACTTCTATGGCAGAGTCCTTCCGCCCTCAGGAGTGGAGACACTAGGCCTCCCTGAAGCCAGGGGAGCAGTGGCTTGCTAAATAACGAGTAGAGCGAGCTGTTGAAAAGAGGTTAGATCTGAGATTAGCGCTGCCCTGAGGCCACAGAAGCCAAACCTATACAGAGCAGAACAAGGGATCTTTGGGCTGGGGGTTACCAGGCAGAGCTGGAGGTGAGATCTCCTGACAGAGAAGGCAGCGGCTGGAATGCTCACACACTCAGCTGAGCGAGACAGTATAAAGCTCCACCCTCCCCTCCTGTCAAGCAGGACTTTGAGATCTCTGTGTAGTGGACAGACAGAGAGATGAACGCACACATGTACGCCTGGCTAGGAGAAAACAAAGGCGTAGACTTAGGGACTTGGAAGACAAATCCTACCGGGGGCCATTCCTATCAGCCTGCAGTGGGGTCTTCAGCCCACACACATGGCAGTGTTCTCGGAGGTCCCAATTTGGGCTTCATCCCAATTCTGAGTTTGGAGTGGGCCAACACTGCTTAGCACACCTTTGACAAGATCTCTCATGTTGGTTACGGGAATGAAGAGAAGCAACTTGAAGCGGGCCAGCTGCTACAGTGAGGAAATACCTTCTAGGTCTATTCTGGCATAGGAAAGAGGAATGAACTACTTCAGACAACTGGGTCAAGAAACCAGGTCTTACAGTTTTTTTACATTTATCTATTTTTATTTTATGTGCATTGGTGTTTTGCCGAAATATATGTCTGTGAGAGGGTGTCAGATCTTGGAGTTACAGGCAGTTGTGAGCTGCCATGTGGGAGCTTTGAGTTGAACCCCAGCCCTCCAGAACAGCAGTCAGTGCTCTTTACCACTGAGCCATCTCTCCAGCCCCAGGTCTTACAATTTTTAAGAGTTCATTTCAATTTCTTTCAGGGGGTGGAGAGATAGCTCAACAGTAAAGAGCACTTGTTGCTCTTGCAAAGGAACTGGGTTCGAGTCATAGCACCCACATGGCAGTTCACAATCATCTGCAGTTCCATTTTCAGGAAATATGATATCCTGTCTGACCGCTGAGGACAACAAGCATGCACACACACACAGAGATACAAACATGCAGGCAAAACAGTAACATACAGAAAGATTAAAATAAATAAAAGTTTGGGTTGTTTTTTAAAGGATGGGGAGTGGAGCTTGGTGATACAGTGCTTGCCCAACACAGATGAGATCCTAAGTCCCCAGTACCATCACCACCGAGAGAGAGAGAGAGAGAGAGAGAGAGAGAAAGAGAGAGAGAGGGGAAGGAAGAGAGGGAGGGAAGAGAGGGAGGGAGGGAGGGAGGGAGGGAGGAAGGAAGGAAGGAAGGAAGGAAGGAAGGAAGGAAGGAAGGAAGG